TGGGAGGCGAGGCTGGAGCCCGACGTCATCTCTTCTACAATGCAGCGATCTTTGCGTGCCAGAAGGTCCTCTGTCTTGAAATATTGGCCGGGCTCTCCAGGCCGCCCTGCGAGCCCCTGGGCCGCTCCGAGACGGCTCAGAGACGCCCACGAGGGCGCCCAGACAGACCAAGAGGGACCCAACCGAGCCCCAGGTCGGACCCAAAGGCCTCCAAGGCAGGCCAGGAGGCTCCCAAGGCGGCCCAGGAGGACCCTCAGGAGGGACCCAAGAGGCAAAAATTGCCCCATTCCCTTCGGAAAACGTGCATTTTTTACATGCTCGCTCTTTTCGTCTTCACCGCGTCCAAGACGGCTATACAGGCCCCCAGCTCGCCCCAAGACGCCCCCACAGCACCCCAGGAGGGCCCCCAAACGGCCCGAGGCGGCCCCGGTACGGCTCCAGAGGCGTCCAAGACGGCCCAAGACGCACCCAAGACAGCCCCAAGAGCAGTTCATAATAGCCCACGGGATGGCTCTGAGAGGCTCCAGGGGGCGCCAAGACGGCCTCAGAGCACCCTTGGGAGCCCCAAGACAGCCCCAGAGGCTCCCAAGGCAGGCCAGGAGGCTCCCAAGATGGCCCAAGAAGCCAAAATCGTCCCATTCCCGACGGGCAACGCACATTTTCATTATATTTTTATACAGGCCCCCCAGCTCGTCCCAAGACGCGCCCAGAGGCCCCCAGGAGGGCCCCCAAACGGCCCCACACGGTCCAGGAACGGCTCCAGAGGCACCCGAGACGGCCCAAAACGCACCCAATACAGCCTCAGAGCACCCCTTGGAGCCCCAGGACAGCCTCAGAGGCCCCCAAGGCCAGGGGGCTCCCAAGATGGCCCAGGAGGGCCTCCAGGAGAGCCCCAAGAGGCCAAAATCGTTTCATTCCCGACGGGAAACGCACATGTTCACTATATCTTGTTTTTTCGTCCTCGCAGCGCCCAAGACGGCTACTCAGGCCCCCGGCTCGCCCGAATACGCGCTCATAGGCCCCCAGGAGGGCCTCCCAAAAGCCCCACAGACGGCCCAAGACGCACCCAAGACAGCCCCAAGAGCAGTTCATAATAGCCCTAGACCGCCCCAACGCCCCGTCTTCAAGACGGCTGTGCAGGCCCCCGTCGCCCCGTCTCCAAGCCTTTCCATCTGCACAATCTCCCAGACGATAATACAGCCCCCCTGATCGCCCCACCCAAAGCGGCCCGAGACGGCCCCGGGACGGCTCCAGAAGCGCCCGAGACAGCCCAAGAAACATCCAAGACAGCCCCAAGAGCGCCCAGGATCGGCCCAAGATGGCCCCAAGACGGCCTCAAGATGGTCCTAGAGGCGCCCGAGACGGCCCCACATCGCCCCAAGACAGCCCAAGAGGCACTCAAGACGGCCCAAGAGGGTCCCGAGAGACCCCCAGGAGGACGAAAAGAGGCCCCTAAACGGCCCCCAAGAGGCCTTGGATCCTTCTCTCTTGAGGAGCGTCGAACTTCAAGCGTCGTCTGAGGGGCTTCTTGGACCCTCTGGAAGCTATCTCTGCGCCTTTGGGGGACGACTTGGGGCGGTGCGCTCGAAAGGCCGATTCGTGTCTTCGCACTGGGGCCCGACTTAGGGAGTTCGTGGGGCCCTCTGGGGCCGTTTAAGAAGCCTCGTGGCTGGTCCTGGAGACCTTTTGAGCCGTCTCGCCGCCCTCTTGCGGGCCTCTTAGGCCGCGCCCACCGGCCCCATTGCCACCACACTACCAGATAAAATTATCATTCGGCCCCGGCGAGGAGCAGATACAACTATCACGGCTACCCTCCCCGCAGAAGCTATTATGAACACATACTGCGGCGTGAGAAGCAGATTCTGTCCACACCATGTCATGCCTACATGGGTGTCCTTCCACTGACACCGCCTCTACCATCGCGTTCCTGCCTTCAGTCCTGCTTGCCTGCATCCTTCGCCCACCTCCCCCTCCAGCGGCCACCTCCTCCATCCACGCCGTCCCCTCCAACCTCCCCTCGCCTGCGAGGTCCCGGAGACGCTCCATTTCCACGTCCACGCCATGGCGGGCAGATTCCGCGGCCAGAAAGCCGCGGGTCAGCCCTAGTCTTCTTCTTCTTCTTCTTCTTCTTCTTCTTCTTCTTCTTCTTCTTCTTCTACTTTACACTTTACAATTCCGGGATCAGTGCGTGCGAAGGCCCCCTCGAGTGGACTCGGCCTGGCCCCCGGCGCTCCTGGGGCCCCGGTCTTGGTCCGTCGCCGGCGCTCCCCGAACGGCCCTCGCCCGCTCGTGACGGATCCACGAGAGCCCCGAGCGAGCCCCGAAACGGCCCCCCCAGGGCCCTTGAAGGGCCCGAGTGCCCCCAGAGGCTCTCTTGACGATTTCGGCAAGGGCTTCAGGGGGCAAAAAACATTGATGTTCCATTTGTTTTTGATGATTTTTCCGGCTCGGGTTTTTTCGAGCCAGAACGGCTCCAAAGGCGCCGCGAATCGTTTCAAGACCGCCCATAAGGCCCCCAAGAGGGCCCCAGAACGGCCCAAGAGTGCCCCAAGATTGCCCAAGACGGCCCCAAGCCGGCCCAAGAGGGTCCCGAGAGGCCCCCGAGACCCACCATGAGGCCCCCAAGAGGGCTCCAGGACGGCCCAAGAGTTCCCAAGACTGCCCAAGACGGCCCCAAGCCAGCCCAAAACGGCCCCCCCGAGACCCACCATGCGGCCTCCAAGACGGCCCCAGGACGGCCCAAGAGTGCCCCAAGACTGCCCAAGACGGCCCCAAGCCGGCCCAAGACGGCCCCAAGAGGCCCCCGACCCCCCCCAGGGAATCCCAAAACGGCTCGATAGTGCCCCAAGATTGTCCATGACGGCCCCACGCCGGCCCAAGAGAGCCCCAAGAGGCCCCCGATATCCCCCCAAGGAATCCCGAAACGGCTCGACGAGGGCTCCCAGAGAGCCCGAATCGGCGATCGAATGGATACTACAACGCACCCCCTCCTTGTAGCATCCACCAGGTGCTGTCTGCGACCCCTCTTGGGGCAGGACGCCCCAAGACCAGCTGTTCCCGTTCGGCTTCAGCGGCTCCCAGTCTCGGTGTGCGCGATCGGGGTTCAGCACACCCTGGATTTAATCCACGGGTACACCCTAGTCTCTACTACATTGCAGGGCCCAGTGCGTGCCAGAAGGGCGCAGGCTCCAATGTCTCAAAACCGCCCCGGGCTGGCCCCGGGCCGCCCCGGGCCGCCCAGGCAGGCTCCAGGACATGTCGGGAGGGCCCCCAGAAGCCCCCAAGACGGCCCCGGAGAGCCCCGGCACGCTTAAAGATGGGCCCAAGACGCCCGAGATTCGCCCCAGGCGGCCCAAGAGGCGTCCAAGACGCCCGAAGAGGCCTCCCAAGAGGCCTCCCAAGAGGGCCCCGAGCGACAGAAATCGTAGATTTCTATTGTGTTTTTCGATGTTTTCGGCCTCCTCGCCTCTTCGGCTTCCCGACGCTCCAAGACGGCCCAAGAAGCCCCCCCGACCGCTCCAAGACGGCCGAAGAGGACCCCAAGAGAGCCCCAAGACGGGCCAGGAGGGCCCCAAAACGGTCCCAAGACGCCCCAGGACGGCCCCAGGACGGCCCAGGAGGCGCCCAAGACGGCCCAAGAGGCACCCAAGACGGCCCCAGGAGCGGCCCAAGACGGCCCAAGACAGCCCAAGAGGCGCCGAGGCGGGTCTCAGACGGCCCCAAGACGGCCCAAGAGGCACCCAAGACGGCCCGAGAGGGCCCTAAGAGCCCCCCCGGGAGGCCCAAAAGAAGGCCGAAGAGGCTCCGAAACGGCCCCCACGAAGCCTTCAGTGCCTTCAGAATTCCCTCCAGGAGCGGGGGAGCGGACGAGAGGCGACAGGCATATCGCAGGCAAAAACGCCCCAAGAGATCCCCAAACGGCCCCCGCGAAGCCCTAAGTGGCTTCAGAATTGCTTCCAGGAGGGGGGGAGCGGACGAGAGGCGACCAGCATATCGAAGGCACAAAAGAACAATGTTGGACGCTCCGAGGGCCTTCGATGTTTCTCCGCTGGGGAGAGTCGTCGTAGGATCGACGATTGCCGACCGAGGGCAGCGAATCTAGTGGAGGCCCAAGAGGCCCCCAGGAGCCCAAAAGAGATCCCCAAGAGGTGCCACGGGGCTTAAAAACTGCTTCGAAGCGAGGGGGGCGGACGAGGGGACCGCCTCAGGAGGTTTTGGACGGTTTTGGGCCTCAAAATCGTCCGCTTTACGACGGTTTTGGAAGGATTTTGGCCTTCTCGCCTTTTCCGCTTTCCGACGCTCGAAGACGGCCCAAGAGGCCTCCAAGAGCGCCCCAGAACGGCCCAAGAGGTTTCCAAGAGCGCCCCAAGACAGCCCAAGAGGGCCCCAAGACGACCCAAGAGACGCTCAAGACGGCCCACGAGGGCCCGAAGACAGGCCCAAGAGGGGGCCAAGAGGGGGACCACGGACCGAAAATCCGAGCCTTCCGCCCCAAGAGGGCGCCAGGAGGCCCAAACAGGCCCCCAAGAGGCCCCAAGGGGCCGCCAAGAATCCCCCGAAGAGGCCCCAGGAGGCTCCAAAGGAACCCAAACGAGGCCCCTACAGAGGCCCCAACAGCTTCCAAAATGGCCCCGAGAGGCCTCGAGCCCGCCTCCGAGCTTCCTCGCCGCGAGGGTTCAAGACGGCCCAAGACGATTCCAAAACGGTCCCAGGACGGTCCCAGGAGGGTGCGCCCAGGACGGCCCAAGGACGCGCCCGTTCGGGGCCTCAAGACGGGCCAAGATGGCAAGAGAGTCCCAGCTGGCAAAAATCGTTAATTTTCCATTGTTTACTGTTACACCCTTTGCGTTTCCCGCCGTTTCGGCGGTCCGATGCACCAAGAGGCCCCAGAAAGTCCCAGGAGGGTCCGAGGAACCGCCCAGGAAGGCCCCAAGACGGGCCAAGACGGACCCAGCACAACCCAAGGCGCGCTGCGACGGCTCAAGACGGCTCCAAGACAGCCCCAAGAGGGTGCCAACACGGCCCCTGCTGGGCCCAGGACGGCCCAAGGAGGCGCACAGGAGGGGCCCAAGACGACTCCAAGGCGGCCTCCTCACGGTCCCAGACGGCTCCAAGACAGCCCCACGAGGACCCCGATGGGCCCAGGACGGCCTACGGACGCGCCCATGAGGGGCCCACGACGAACCAAGACGGCCCCATCAGGGCAAACGGCGCCCTCAAGACGGGCCTAGACGGCTCCAAGACGGCCCTTTGAGGGAGCCAACGCGGCCCCACACCCTTCGGGCGCACACTTGGGGGGGCTGGGAGCTTGCGACAAGTCTCCCACATTCATTGTCCTGCCCCATTCTGTTCGCCTGGAGGCCTCCTCCAACCCTGTGGGCGAACAAGAGGAATCCCAGCGGGACGCCAACCCTGGGGCCCGTGGGCCCCGCGCCGCTTGGGCAGAAGACGAACGCCGGGTCTGACAGGCCAGCTACCGCCCCCCTTTGCCCGATATGCTGTGCCATTCTGTTCCCCCAGGGGCCTTGGCAAACTCTTCGGGCCAAGCAGACCGGACCCCTGGGACAGCAGCCAATTGATATGACCCTGGGACCTCTCCGCATTCTTCGGACGAGCATCTGGGGGGCCCAGGAGATTCGGACATGTCTTCCCCATTCCTTGCCCTGTCCCGTTCTGTTCGCCCGAAGGCCTCCACAGACCCTCTGGGCGAACAGAATGGGACATGGCGAACAAACCCTCCCGTTGGCGGTGATGCGACTGGATCGCACCATCAAGGCGCGCCCGGAGGTGATGGCCGACCCAACAGCGGTTTCTCTTAAGAGTTCACTGGATTTCAAATTTTCTTGAAGCTCTCTTGGGCCCTCCCTGTAGATCCTTGCGAGCCTCCCCGGCGCTTTCGGTGGCTTTCCCCGATGGCCTCCCGAGCCCTTCCCCGAGCGCTCCTGAGACGCCTCAGATGGGCTTCGACTTCGACGCACATCCCCGAGAGACTTCGAAACTGTCCTCAATAGGAGGGGGGTGAACGAGCAGTGCGCTGGGCCAAGCTGCTGCAGCGCTGCAAGAGCTCGGACACGAAGGCGCGGTCTCGCTGCCGCCGCCCGAGCCGCCGCCGTGTTTGTAGATTTTCGGTACAATCTGCGCCGTTCCTCCGAGAACCATTCCAGAAAGATGTCGTGGACGGAGTCCACGGGTCAGCCCTAGTCTCTACTACATTGCAGGGCCCAGTGCGTGCCAGAAGGGCGCAGGCCCCAATGCACCGAAACCGCCCCGGGCTGGCCCCGGGCCGCCCCAGGCCGCCCAGGCAGGCTCCAGGACATGTCGAGAGGGCCCCCAGAAGCCCCCAAGACGGCCCCGGAGAGCCCCGGCACGCTTAAAGATGGGTCCAAGACGCCCGAGATTCGCCCCAGACGGCCCAAGAGGCGTCCAAGACGCCCGAAGAGGCCTCCCAAGAGGCCTCCCAAGAGGGTCCCGAGCGACAGAAATCGTCGATTTCTATTGTGTTTTTCGATGTTTTCGGCCTCCTCGCCTCTTCGGCTTCCCGACGCTCCAAGACGGCCCAAGAAGTCCCCCCGACCGCTCCAAGACGGCCGAAGAGGACCCCAAGAGAGCCCCAAGACGGGCCAGGAGGGCCCCAAGACGGTCCCAAGACGCCCCAGGACGGCCCCAGGACGGCCCAGGAGGCGCCCCAGACGGCCCAAGAGGCTCCCAAGACGGCCCCAGGAGCGGCCCAAGACGGCCCAAGACAGCCCAAGAGGCGCCGAGGCGGGCCTCAGACGGCCCCAAGACGGCCCAAGAGGCACCCAAGACGGCCCGAAAGGGCCCAGCCTCCCCGGGAGGCCCAAAAGAAGGCCGAAGAGGCTCCGAAACGGCCCCCACGAAGCCTTCAGTGGCTTCAGAATTCCCTCCAGGAGCGGGGGAGCGGACGAGAGGCGACAGGCATATCGCACGCAAAAACGCCCCAAGAGATCCCCAAACGGCCCCCGCGAAGCCCTAAGTGGCCTCAGAATTGCTTCCAGGAGGGGGGGAGCGGACGAGAGGCGACCGGCATATCGAAGACACACAAGAACAATGTTGGACGCTCCGAGGGCCTTCGATGTTTCTCTGTTGGGGAGAGTCGTCGTAGGATCGACGATTGCCGACCGAGGGCATGGAGAATCCAGCGAAAGAGGAGAAGAAGGTGGAAGAGGAGGAGGAGGAGGAGGAGGAGGAGGAGGAGGAGGAGGAGGAGGAGGAGGAGGAGGAGGAGAAGGAGAAGGCACCCTTACGACAAGCGGGGCCTGGCGCTGCACTGCGAGATGTCGAAAGCCAAGCTGGAGCCCGACGCCATCATGATTGCCTTTCGGCCCTGCAGCCGCACCCCCCCGCGCTTGCCCAGAGACCCCTCGCCACGTCGAGCTGATGTCGTGGACGGAGTCCACAGGTCTGCCCTAGTCAGCTACAGCGCTGGGATCAGCGCGTGCGAGAAGGGCGAGCAGTGGCAGCGGGCGCTGGCGCTGCTGAGCGAGATGTGGGAGGCGAAGCTGGAGCCCAACGTCATCTCTCCTACAATGGCTGGCCCAGCGCTCGCGGAGGTGCCGATATGTGGCAGCGGACGGGCCCCCTCCGGCGGCCCCTGCGAGCCCCAGCAGGCCTCGGCGCGCTCCCAAGATGGCCCAAGAGCGTTCCCGGGCGCCCCAGGAGGCCCCCGACGCGGGCCCCCAGACGGCCGAAGACGGTCCAAGAGGCTTCCGAAACGCTCCAAGTGGGCTCCATGACGAGCCCCAGGAGAGCCCGAACACCGAGAAACCGTCCCATCTCCTCGGGACAATGTGCATTTTGGCAGTTCCCAGGCTTGCCCGCTTCATATCGTCCAAGACGGCCATATAGGGTCCCAGTGTGGCCCCAGGACGGCTCCCGAGGCGCCCCTGGCGGCCCACGGGGCACCCAAAACAGTTTCAAGAGCGGCCCAGGACGGCCCGAGACGACCCCCAGACGGTCCCCAGACTGCTCCAGAGACGCCCATAGGCGGCCCCTCCCCAGACGGCCCTGGACGGCCTCAGCACGGCCCAAGAGGCACCCGAGACAGCCCAAGAGGGCCCTAGGAGGCCGACAAGAAGCGCTGAGAGGCTCCTGAACGACCCCCAGAGGCCCCAAGATGACGGCCCAAGAAGCACCAAAGACAGCACCAACAGCAGCCAAAGATGGCCTAAGACGGCCCCAGGATGGTCCCAAAACGGCTCCAAGCGCACCGTGGGGCTCTTCGGCTTCCTGACGCTTGTTTGGCGCTCCCTGCTGGATGTGGCCTAAAATCCCTCGCCCTCTTTGTCGGTCTGAAGCCTACTCCGCGACCTCTTGTGGCCTTGCCGTGTTTCGCTCTCGCAGCCCTCTCGGGGGCCTCCTGGGCCAGCATGGGGCCATTTGGGAGGCGTCTGACGCGATCTTGGGCCGACTGAGGCCGTGCGGGGCCGACGTCCCACATGATGGACGGGGCCATTTGGGAGGCGTCTAGCGCGATCTTGGGTCGTCTTCGGCCGTTTTTGGCCGACGTTCGAAGTTTTGCGACGGCGATGATGATGATGGTGGTGTTGATGATGATGAAGATGCTGATGCTGATGCTGATGCTGATGATGCTGGTGATGATGATGGTGCAGCTGATGATGATGATGCTGCTGATGATGATTGTGATGATGATGATGATGATGATGATGATGATGATGATGATGATGATGGTGATGGTGATGGTGCTGGTGTTGGTGGTGATCGTGATGCTGATGATGATGATGATGATGATGATGATGATGATGATGATGCTATGGATGATAATTATGATGACGATGACGATGGCGATGGCGATGACGATGATGATGGTGGTGATGATGATGCTGATGATGATGGTGATGATGGTGATGATGGTGATGATTATGATGATAGTGATGATGATGATGCTGATGATGATGATGCTGCTGATGATGATGATCACGATGATGAGGGGGATGATGATGATGATGAGGTATCCCAAAAGTGAACGGTGCCACGAGCCATCTCGACCAAGTTCCTGACTCCGTTCCCGGGGTCCGCCAGGGGCTCTTCGGCCTCCTTGTCGCTTGCTTTGCGCTCCCTGCCCGATTTGGCCCAAAATCCCTATTTCTTTTGGCCGGTCACGAGCCCTTTGTGGGGCCTTTTGGGGCCCCCGCACGGCCCCCAAAAAGCTCTGCTGCTGAAGGGGCTGACCGCCATGTGGACCGCCTTTCAGCAGCATTCCCGCCGCTGCCCCGAGAGTGCTCTCGGCCACATGCCGTGGACGGAGTCCACGGGTTCGCCCTAGTCTCTCCTACAATAGCCGGGTCCGCGCGTGCGGTGCCCAGCGCAGTGGCAGCGAGCCGCCCCCCCCCCCCGGCCGCTTCGGGGTGGCCGTCGGGGTCGCTTCGGAGCCTCTGGAGCGGCTCCGATCGCGCAGCGGACGCTCCGTGACTGCCGAAGATCCGCTCCAGACGCCCCCAAGACGGCGTCAGGACGGCTCAAGACGCCCCCGAGCTGCCCCGAGAGACCTCCGAGCGGGCCCTCACGACGCAAAAATCGTTTCATTCCTTCCGTAAAACGTACATTTTTGGAGAACTCGCTCTTCTGGTCTGCGCGGCGTCCAAGACGGTCGAGGACGCTTCCAAGACCGCCCCAACACGGCCCCAGAGGCCCCCCAGAGAGCCCCAGTCGAGACCAAAACGGCCCATCAGGGCCCCAAGACGGCTCGCGAGGGACCCAAGAGGGCCCCCAGAAGCTCCCAAGAGAGCCCTGAGAGGGCCACGGGAGGCGCCCAAGAGGGCCTCCAAGCACCCCCAGAGCGCCCCAAGACTGCCCGTGCCCCCCAAGACGGCCCCGGAGGGCCCCAAAGCGGCCCCACAGCGCCTCCAGAGGGCCCAAAAGAGCCTGGACAGGACCCTCCAAGAGGCCCCCAAGAGAGCCCCAGGAGGGCCCAGGGGTGTCGCCGCCGCCATCGCCGCCGCCGCCGTCGTCGTCGCCGTCGCCTGCGCCCAGAAGGAAATTCTTTACGCTTCGCGTATCCCCACCAGCCCATCTCACAGCAGCAACTCTTGCGAAGCATGCCGACAGTCGTGTTTTTCAGGCGTGCGTCCGCTTGGCCCCGCATATCTCCCCTGTTCCTCCTTCCTCCCGCCTCCTTGTACATCCTCCTTGTGGGGGGAGCGGGAGAAGGACGAGGCGGAGGAGGAGGGAGAGAAAGCGCTCCTCGTGATTTGAGTCGTTTGGGGTTTCTCGTCCTGGTGTGAGTCGTTCGGGCCCTTCTTCCTGGTGTGAGTCGTTCGGGCTCTTCGTGGTGTGAGTCGTTCGGGCTCTTCGTCCTGGTGTGAGTCGTTCGGGCTTCTCGTGGTGTGAGTTGTTCGGGCCCCTCATCCTGGTGTGAGTCGTTCGGGCCCCTCCTCCTGGTGTGACTCGTTCGGGCTCCTCGTGGTGTGAGTCGTTCGGGGCCCGCGTCGTGGTGTGAGTCGTTCGGGCTCCTCGTGGTGTGAGTCGTTCGGGCGCCTCGTCCTGGTGTGAGTCGTTCGGGCCCCTCCTTGTGGTGTGAGTCGTTCGGGCTCTTCGTGGTGTGAGTCGTTCGGGCCCCTCGTCCTGGTGTGAGTCGTTCGGGCTCCTCGTGGGGCCTCTTGGGGGCCTCTTGGAGCCTCTTGGGGCCTCTTGGGGGCCTCTTGGGGGCCTCTGGGGGGCCTCTGGGGGGCCTCGTGGGGCCTCAGGGGGCCTCTTGGGGGCCTCTTGGGGGGCTCTTGGGGCCTCTTGGGGGCCTCTTGGGGACCTCTTTGAGGCCTCTTGGGAGGCTCCTGGGGGCCTCTTGGGGCCATCTTGGGGCCTCTTGCTACCTCCTCTGAAGCGCAAAGGAGCGCTGCCCCCTGAGAAGGACAAAATGAGCCCAAAACCTTTGTAAAATCAATGATTTTGCTATGAAGGAAGATGAGCGCGGCCCCCTCAGAAGGCCAACATGGGGCCAAAACCCTAGTAAAATCAATGATTCTGGCTTCAAAGAAGAGCAGAGGGGCCAAACTGGACCCCCCCGACGGGGCCAGAATCCTCGTGAGGGTAGTCGTTTTTTAGCCCTCCCAGGAGTCAAAAAAGACCCCCCTGACTACGCCCCGGACTCCCTGTCCAGGTCCAGGGGGAGGGGGTAGGGGGAGGGGTAAACCCCTCCCCGAAGGGGAAGAAGGGGGGTTGAGGACAGAGAGGGCTCCCTAAACCACTCACGCCCAAAGGGCTGGTGGGATTCGGAGGGGCGCCGTCGCCGTCGCCGTCGCCGTCGCCGTCGCCGTTGCCGTCTTCGTCGTCGTCGTCGCCGTCGTCGTCGTCGTCGTCGTCGTCGTCGTCGTCGTCGTCACGGCAAAAAACGCCACCGTGCCCTGTCAAGTGCCCCCCACAGGGATCCACAAACACTTTTCCTTAGAAAAATGCTCCGCAGGCCCATTTGGCGCTTAGAGCGGGCTTACAGTATGCGATAGTGGCCTTCGGAGGCCCTCTTACAGCCATCTTGGGCCATCTTGGCAATTCGCACCGCTCCGACCCCCGCCATCTTGGGCCGTCTTCGCTGTTCTCACCGCTCTGAACGCTCCTCACCGTTGGGGCCCCCTCCCCTTGCCCCTTTCCGTAGCCATTATGGCCTTCGGGTCCCTCCAAGACAGGGCCGGGTGCATTCTGCCACAGAGAGGCCTCTCGTGGCAAAGCGGTGGGCCCGCGTCCGGCGGCGTCCTGGGGCCCTCTTGGAGCCCTCTGGGGGCCCTCTTCGCGCCCTCTGGTACGACCCACCCATGGTTCGGCCGGCAACCCCGGCAGCGCGAGACAGCAAACACGGGTACATACTAGTTTTCTCTACAATGCAGGGACCCGCGCGTGCGGGAAGGGTCCCTGTCTTGATCGCTCTAAAATGCCCCACAACGGCTCCGGGGACGCCCCAGAGGCGCTCACGCGGCCCAAGAGGCGCCCAGGACGGCCCCAGACACCCCCAAAACGGCCCAAGAGCGTTCCAAGAGAGCTCAAGACCGCCGAAAACGGCCCCGACAAGGCCCAGGAGGCCTCCACGACGGCCCCAGAGACGCCCAAGAGGCGTCCCATGATGGCCCCCGCAGGCCCAAATCATTGTTTTTTCTGACGAAAGCGTGTAATTTTAGCATGCACGCTTCGCCGATGCATGCAGCCCTGGCCGGGTGCGGGCCCTGCACTTTTCACACTGCTTGTCGGGTATATGGCGCAGAAGATGGGACAAGAGGTCCCCACGACCGCCCGAACACGGCCCCAAAGGCCCCCCAGAGGCACGAAAACCGGCCCGAGAGAGCGTCAAGAGACCCAAAGGCGCCCAACACTGCCCCCAGGCAGCCCCAAGAGGCTCCCAGGAGGCGCCCAGGACGGCCCCAGACACCCCCGAGATGGCCCAAGAGGGATCCAAGAGAGCCCAAGACCGCCGAAAACAAACCCAAGACGGCCCAGGAGGCCTCCACGACGGCCCCAGAGACGCCCAAGAGGCGTCC